CAAGTGGCTGGGTTGGTTTAAACAGCTGACCTCTTAGTCAGCAGCCAAGCTACTTAACCATTGCTCCACTACTGAAGTGTCAGACGGTAGGAGAGGAGGCTTTAAATATGCCTTTGTTGACCAGGCAGAGCCTGTGTTTCAATCAAAGACGAAGGCCGGTTTCTCTTATTTCAGCCTAATAAATCAGAACTTCCTTGAAATGGAGCGTTAGAGGGCACTTGCCCCATCCCTTCCCAAAGCCCTTACTGCTCATTCTTGGGTGGAACAGAGATAGGAGGCTCTGAACGAGTGGGCAACGGGGGATTAGGGCAGATGTCTGAGATGCCAGGTTTGGGGGTGAAAGGCTGAAGGGCTGAAGAGCCCCAGGGGGAGGAGGAGAAGACACCTTTCCGGATTTGGGCTCTGCGCCCCTGAGATCTCCTCGGCGACCACCAGAGGACGCCCCGGAGCTCGAGTTCCCGGCGCGGCGCCAGAGCCTCCGCCGCAACCAGCCCAGGGTGCGGCGCCGCGATAAGAAACGAGTGCCGGGCGGCTGCCCGAGCTCTCTCGCCCCGGCGAGTGGACCGGCGGGCCTGGGGGCCCCCACCCTTGCTTCCTGTGGCAAAACGTTGCCTTTTCTCAACTCGATTGCTTAACCAGGAAACGCCCAGGAGTCGTCTCAACGTCGCTGTCCACAAAGCCCGGGTGCGCGGGCGGGAGGGTTCGGGCGCGCCGCTGAGGCTGGAGGAGCCTCGCACTCAGGCTCACGCGCGCCCCAGCCCCGCCCCGCGCACCCCCGAGACCGCCGGCTCCATGAGGACCCCTAGGCCGGCGCTGGGAGCCCGGCGCGGATCCGACCGCAAGCTGGCCTCGGCGGCAGAGCGGTAGACAGGTCAGCTCGGGCGCGGCGCGGGCCGAGCGGCAGGCGGGAGGCGTTGGCGTGCGCGCCGGTCCCCCGCATCCATTCCTTCCTCCCACCGCTTCCCGAGACAACCCCCCCAGGTCACCTCCGCGGGCGGGGAGGGGTCACCTCCGCCGGGCCACCCAATAGCACGGCCGTGATTCTCCGTTTTTCATGACTAGCTGGGTGGGGAGCCGCTCTCTGCAGCCCACCCTGGCCCAGGTGATGCTCTGGATGTTGGGCGAGGGGTGGGGGCGGGGATGCGCAAACCGGGGCGGGCGCGGCCTCCGGGGTATTAACGGCGCTATCCCACCCACGAGCGGCCGCGTCCAAACCGCCTCCTCAACTGTCTATTGTATCAAGATGCCGGGCCTCGGGTATGCAGACAGACCCAGTTGCTGCCGAGGGCCAGAAGAAAGGAGGCCGCGAGCCCGGCGGCCGGGCGCGAGAGGAAGTGGGCGGCGGTAACGAGTCACTGGGCACCCTCTCGTATTCCCGACGAGAGAGGCGCCCCGCAGAGCCCGCAGAGCCTCCCGCGCTGCGGGGGTCCCGGGGCGCGGTCCACGCCCGCGCTCTCACGCGTCCCCTTGTCCAGGATGCGGCTGGGCCGCCGGGCCCTCTGCGCGCTGGTCCTGCTGCTCGCCTGCGCCTCGCTGGGGCTGCTGTACGCTCGCTCCCGAACCTCCCCGGGCCTCCGGGCTCCGCTGGCGCTGTGGACACCCCCGCAAAGCGCCCTCAGGCCTCACCTACCTGATCTAGCTCCTGAGCCCCGCTATGCACACATCCCGGTTCGCATCAAGGAGCAAGTGGTGGGGTGAGTGTGGGAACCTTCCACTGAGCAGCTAGCTAGGGGTGGGGGTGGCTGTTTCTTTCAGCGTTGAGCGCTAGTGCCTGGTTTTAGGGAGTGTGGGGACGGGACCGAGAGTGGGCAAGGGTTCCAGCTGATGGGGCGGTGGGGGGGTGGGGGGGATGGCAGGCGGAAATCTATCTTGTCCCGAGGCCGGGAGGGTGTTCAGTTAGGGGAGGAGACTGGTGTGAGTCAAAAGGGGGATTCCACATGAGGTTTTGAACGGTCGGCAGGCGCCTCCTGTTTTGAACAGCCCAGTTAATTGGCCCTCTTCGCAGGCCCTGTAAAATCCAGACCTCGGGCACGTGGCATCCTCTCCGTGGGCCTCTGTCTTGGGAACCACGTGCGGAGCAGGGTTTACGGGGAACACATATTGGACGGGGCGTACTATGTAAACTCTGGGATGGACGAAGGGAGCTGGGGGGCTGCGAGTTGATGCCCCGCCCCCACCCCCACCCCACCCCTCCAGACTGCTCCCTTGGAACAACTGCAGCTGTGAGTCCAGTGAAGGGGGGATCCTGCTGCTCCCCTTCCAGAGGCAGGTCCGAGCCACTGACTACACCAAGGCCTTTGACCCCAAGGAGCTGAGGGCTGCCGTTGCCGCCAGAGAGCAGGAGTTCCAAGTCTTCCTTTCAAGGTGCAGACAGGCTGGGGGAGGCAGAGGAAGGCCTGTGAGGGGCATCTTCTAGCAGAGCCCCTGCCCTCTGACTCCCCTCTCTTCCTCTTCCTCCACTTGTCAGGAGGCAGTCCCCAGCTGACCAGCTACTCATCGCCCCTGCCAACTCCCCGCTACAGTACCCCCTGCAGGGGGTGGAGGTGCAGCCACTGGGGAGCATCTTGGTGCCAGGTGGTTGGAATGGGGTGTGGGACTCTTGATGAGAAGGGGGCTTGGAGGTCAGAAGGGGTCTCGGGAGGTGGAAGGTGGGAGCAGAGGGGTGCTAGGACTATCAGGAATTGTGAAAGACATACGCCTCCCACTAGGTAACTAAAGGTTGGCAGCTCAAACCTACCCAGCGGTGCCTGGGGAGAAAGGCCTGGCAATCTGCTGCCATAAAGATTTTAAAAAACGAAAACGAAACAAATCTGCTGCCTTCTGGTCAATTCCAACTCTGACTCTAAAACCAAACTCACTGCCATCTAGTGGGGGCCGACTCACAGTGACCCTGTAGGAGAGGGTAGAACTAACTGCCCCCTGTGGGTTTCTGAGACCGGAACTCCTTACTGGAGTAGAAAGCCCTGTCTTCTCTCCGGGAACAAGCTGGTGGTTTCAAACGTGGGACCTTGCAGTTAGCAGCCCAACATGTAGCCATTATGCCACCAGGGCTCCTGGTGTAAAACTGCCTTAGTAAAACTGCCCCAAACTATCATCTTTTAAAAAAAATCATTTTATTAGGAGCTCATACAGCTCTTATCACAATCCAGTTATCCATTGTGTCAAGCACATTTGTACATATGTTGGCATCATCCTTTTCGAAACATTTTCTTTCTACCTGAGTCCTTGGTATCAGCTCATTTCCCACCTCCCCAATCCTTCCTCATGAGCCCTTGATAATTTATTTAAATTTTTTTCATGTCCCAACCCATAAAGTAGTCAAAAGTTGGTCACTGTAGGCCAAGACAGCCAATGTGCCCAGCTGAGCCTCAGCAGGAGGAAAGGTGGAAAGTGCTGGGTTGTGTGTGCTGAGCCAGGGGAGAGAGAGGGAGGGAGAACTCCACCTTTCTGTGACTTTACTCTCCATTCTTCTCCCAGGGCTAAGCCTGCTGGCAGCTTCAGGGCTGGCCTTATATCAGGTGAGAGGCAACTGGAGGGTGGGGAAACCAGGTAGGCAGTGAGGGCGCTGGGGAAGAGGGCCAAGGGAGGCATGGGAGGGCCAGGGAGACATGAGGTGGGTGTGGGGCCTAACCCTGTACTCTCCAACCACCCCACCCCCTGCCCCACCCAGGTGAACCTGACTGCCTCCTTGGGCACTTGGGATGTGGCAGGGGTAGTGGCAGGAGTGACTCTCACTGGAGAGGGGCAGCCTGAGCTCACAATCACTAGTCCAGGGCTGGACCAGCTCAACCGGCAGCTGCAGCTGGTCACTTACAGCAGCCGAAGTTACCAGACCAACACCGCAGACACAGGTGTGAGGCCAGGGCGGAGGGAGGAGCAGGGTGGGTGGGCAGAGAAGATCCAGAAAGGTTGGGGCTGGGGCAGGGGTGGGGCAAGTGGCAGAGGATGTGGGAGGCACTGGGGCAGTAGCCAGAGCTGCCAAGCCACACAATGGGCATTTCAGCTACACCAGCAGAGCCCAGAGAGAAGGAGCCTTTGTTCATCTGGGGCCAGAGCAGGCCAGGGGAAACTTAAGCCTTGGGTGGGTCCCCCTCCAGGCCAACCATGAGGGCCCCAGGAAGTGACCTGGCCCAGAACCGAAAGCCCCAGGCTCTAGTCCCAGGCCACCACTTTCTGGAGGACAAAGGTGTTACCTTTCTGAGCTCCTCCTGTGGCACAGAGGGCGTACCACAGCTGCCTGCTGCTCTCCAAAGCTTGCCACACCAAGCCTGTTCCCATCCCAGGGCCTTTGCACTTGCTGTCCCTTCCATCTGGAATGTTCTCCCTCCAGATTTTGGCATGGCTAGCCGGCTCTTCCTTGTCATTTAGATCTCAGCTCCAATGTCTTCTCTTCCCTATCACATTACCTGCCTTATTTTCTATTCAATAGTTATCAGTCTGTGACTTTTGTTTACTTAGCCTAGAACCAGACTGGCGGGCTGCCTATCCCAGTACTCTTGCTTCCATAGCTGCATAAATTCCATAGCGGTGGACAAATTGGCCAACTTCTTAGTAGGACTCTCCTTAGCAGGGCAATGGTGAGGATTCAGTGAATGGATATATTTAAGGTATACATCAAAAAGTGCCTGACCCAGTCAACATTAAGTAAAGGTGTTGGGATTTTGTTTTGTTTTGAATCAGTTTCAACTTTTTTATTCTTCCTCCCACCCATGACAATGTCAGCTCTGTGGAGACAGGACTGTGTGCTCTTGCCCACCCAACCTAGGAAGCAGAACACACAGTCGGCTGAAGAAAGAATGGGGGACTGCCCAGGGCATGCTGCCCCAAACTAAAGCCACTGGGAGCAGCCCCCCATAACATCTCCTTTCTACACAGTCCACTTCTCCACGGAAGGCCATGAGGCTGTCTTCTCCATCCGCATCAGACATGCCCCCAACCCTCGGCTGTACCCTCCCGGGGGGGCTCCATCTCAAAAAGGTGAGGCTGGTGGCTGATGGGGGTGGGGAGGGGCAGGCACCTGGATCTGCCTGTGGCAGGCAAGTTGGGGGCAGAGGCCCTAGGAGGGAGCTGTCTTCTTTACCTCCTCAGTCACTCTCTCTTTTTAAAATCATTTTATTGGGGGCTCTGACAGGACCCTCCTCACTCTTGACCCTCCTTATCTACACCCACGTCCTGGGTGCCCCCTTCTAGCCCAGTACAACATCAGTGCCCTGGTCACTATCGCCACCAAGACCTTCCTTCGTTACAACCGGCTGAAGGAGCTCATTGCCAGTATCCGCCGCTTCTACCCTACGGTCACCATCATCATCGCGGATGACAGCGAAAAGCCAGAGCGCATTAGTGGTCCCCACGTGGAGCACTATATCATGCCCTTCCGCAAGGTGTGAACCCAGGCTGGGCCGCCTGGCCTACAGGTTCCTGGAGTGTCAGCGCATGGCCTGTCTGGTTTGCAGCTGCCTTTCAGATGGTTGCCACTAGCGCGGGGGTGGGGGGGTGGGGGGGGAAGGGGGGTAGGGACGGGGCGAGAATAGCCACTGTGTCGCTGCGTGCACGAATGAACGAATGCATTCCGGGCCAGTCAGCCCCCAGAACACTGACTCCGAGGCCCTGAGAGTGTTTGGGGTTTGCTTTGGCTTTGAACCCAACGTCCAATCCATTCCCTTGCTGTCTAGGGGATGCTACTCAGAGCAACCCTACAGGCCACCCCCCTGGGGGTTCTGGGGCTGTAAGTAACTCTTTGAGCCAACTGGAGAGGCCAGTCTTTGTTGTCCCCCCTCCCCCCGACCCCCGCCGGAGCAGCTGGCGGTTTCGAACTGCCGATCTTGCACTTAGCAGCCCAACGTAAGCACTGCGCCAGCCACTGGGGCTCGTTGGTAAAGGGTCACAGGCTGTCAAACCAGCCAGAGTCGGAGGACGAAAAGGGACAGGAGGCAGAGCAGGTCTTATCTCGGGAGCCTGCTCCATCTGACCCTTCCTGTGTTGTACCCCCCTCCCTCAGGGCTGGTTCGCAGGCCGGAACCTGGCTGTGTCCCAAGTGACCACCAAGTATGTGCTGTGGGTGGACGATGACTTCATCTTCACGAGGCGGACACGGCTGGAGAGGCTCGTAGAAGTTCTGGAGAGGACGCCGCTGGACCTGGTGGGCAGGGACGCCAGGGGTGGAGGGGCGGGGCGGGTGGCAGAGAGGGTTGGAGGAGAAAAGAGGAAGCCAGGGTTGTGGGGGGAAGCATGGAGAGGGATCTGAAGGGGCCCCCAGCAGAGAGAGGGGTCTCCGAGAGGGAGAGGAAGGGGCGAGAGAAGGTGGTAAGGGAGCGAGGGGCACCTGCTTCCCGTGTCAACACGAGCCCCGTTTCCACTCCCCGCAGGTGGGGGGTGCGGTGCGTGAAATCTCTGGCTTCACTACCACGTACCAGCATCGGCTGAGCGTGGAGGCTGGCCCGCCGGGCCTCGGGAACTGCCTCCGCCAGCGGCGCGGCTTCCACCACGAGCTCCCGGGCTTCCCGGGCTGCGTGGTCACCGACGGCGTCGTCAACTTCTTCCTGGCGCGCACCGACAAGGTGCGCGAGGTGGGCTTCGACCCGCGCCTCAGCAGTGTGGCGCATCTGGGTGAGTAGCGCCCCATCCCAGTGGCAGGACCTGGCAGAGACCCCCACCCTGATTCCGCAGGGTGCTGGACTGGGGTCTCTCTTCCTGGCGCCCCCTCCGCGGGACCCCTGATTGCTGCTGGGTGCAGTGATAATGCTCCTACACCCTCCCAGCCTATCTGCCCATAAACCTCCACTCCTAGACCACTGGGGGGAGGGGGGAGGCGGTCCTCCCCAGACTGTTCCGGCAGAGGCCCCTGGCTCAGACCACACTTGGAGCAGCCTGTGAGGCCTTCATTGGGCCTCCAGACAGAAGTGGTGGGTTTTCCTGTTTTCAAAATGCAAGGCAAGATATGTAACACCAAGATCCAGAGGGGTTTACTGACATGATTTCTTAGCCAGGAAGTCTTTGGGAGCCCACCTCTGCCTCTCAGTTCTCCCTTGGCCTGCTGCATGCTCAGGGCCTTGCTCTGCGCCCCTCCCCACCTCCAGAATTCTTCCTGGATGGCCTTGGCACTCTCCGCGTGGGCTCCTGCTCTGACGTCATCGTGGATCATGCATCCAAGCTGAAGCTTCCTTGGGTGTCAAGGGAAGCCAGTGCGGGGACTTATGCCCAATATCGTTACCCGGGGCCACGGGATGAAAGCCACGTAGCCAAACACCGCCTGCTCTTCTTCAAACACCGGCTCCAATGCATGACCATAGATTGATGGCCACCCAGAGCCTTGGCCCTGCCAGGACTTCCCAGCAACACCCCCCACCCAGTGACCACTCTCCAATGACTGCCTCTGGCCTCCCGGCTCCTCAGCCCTCCTCAGCAGAGCCTGATCCCAAGTAAGGGCTTGTCCTGGTGACACTCCTCCTTTGCTTGAGTGCCCAGTGTGGGCACGATGGAGCCAGACTCTTCCACAGTGCCGGGTTGCCCCCACCCTACCATATAGGGCAGGAAAGGGAGGGGGACAGGTTTTGCTTCCCAAGTGCCAAAGAGCCCAGGGGGACTCTAAGAACTAAAGTAGAAACCCTTGCCGCTCCTCTCCTTGGGTATAGGGCCCCTCCCCACAGATGTAATCCCAGGACTATGTCCCCAACTCCCATTTCTGGATCCGGGACTCTGATCACTGCCTTCAGCCCCACCCTGATGGAGTGAACTGAGGAGGGAGCGGGCTGGTGACCACCTGGTACAAACCATTCTCCATGGTGTCTTTTACGATGCTGTGGGAATAGAGGAAGAATCCCAGCCTCACTTCACGGGTTCCAGAGGCCCCACGCTTTGTTTTATTAGCCACACTAGTTATGGGGGCTTAGGAGCATAGTCCACCCACCCCCCATGACCCCACATTGTTGGAGCTGTCCACTCTCCAAGTGACCGGATCAGACCCACACTGTGCAATTTTTTGGACCAGTGAGTTCCTGGAAAAGATAGGGGATATGTCAGAGTAGATCAGGAGAAACTGGGCAGCCCCCACCCCTGCCCGAGATTTGGCAGTTCTCTGAGGGCCACTACCACCACACCCACCACCACACCCTGGGCCCTTAGTTCCTCAGCTCTTTGCCCACAGTGAGGCTTCACCTCCCCAGCCTGGTCTTAAAATGGCCTAGTCATTTCAGCCCCACTCGTTCCCCCTTGATCTTCTTTTCCTGAGTGCCCTCCTCAGCTCCTTCTGCCTGGGGCCTCAGCCACGACCCACATCTCACATGCTAGAGCCCAGTCCCTCCTGTTCTCCCCTCCCCTCACCAGTCTCTCCAGGGCGTGAGCAGCAGCATCCTGGACACTCACAAACAGCTGACCTGGGGTGACTGTGTCCAGGAGTCCAGCCCAGGTCAGAGTCCCCAGCACCGAGGCTACATGGGGAAGGGATCAGGCTCTCAGGTCCCAAGTCCACACCGTGTCCTATTACCCCTCCGTTCCCTAAGTGTCCAGTCATTCCCAGGCCTGAGGTTCCTCCATGCGACCACTCATCTCACCGTTACACTGAGCCAGGAGAAGGTGGATCCCCGCATCTCGACAGCGGCAGGCCAGCTGTGGAGATGGGGGTGGGGGTAGCTCTGAAGTCAGGGATTTGAGTGGAACAACATGGGGCTTTTTCTCCAACCTCCTCTCTCTCTCACCTGTACCACTTCTCTGGCCCCAGCAGCATCTGCAAAGGTCACCCCGCTGCAGTCAAGGACCACCACTCGGACAGGCTCAGCAACTAGGGTGGGGAGGAAGGCAGGAGGATGGAGATCTTGTGAGGGTCAGTCTCAAATCTCCCTTCTTGTCATCCCATCTCACCTGCATCAGGAGGCTTTGGAGTCTCCTGTGGGGAAAAAGGGGCAGTCAGTGGGCACCAAGGGAGACGTGAGCCCAAGCCCCGCTCCCCACCCCAGCCCCGAGCACCTCCTGCCTCCCAGGCCTAATGGAGCCCCTCTCTTGATTGGAGGCCCTTACCTTGCCCCTCTCGCCAAGCCCCAGATGCCACTCTAGAACACGGCGGAACTGACCCCGGGTTCCAAAGTAGAGTGGTGTGGGATAGCTGAGGACACAGAGCCCAGGAACCTGGAGGAGCTAAGGGGCCAAGGGTCAGAGTATCATTCCAATCCCATTGATTGAATGGACTCTTCCCTTCCTTCCTCCACTCGGTGGTAGCCCACCCACCTTGCGGCTCTCCCTGAGCGGCCTGTAGAGCTCTGTTCCTTCAGCGAGTCCAAGTGCCAGGCACTGCACCCTGAGCAGGGAGCTGGGGGTCATATCCCCCAGCCTGGTCCAGCTGGGGAAATCACCCAGAGCATCACCTCCCCACCCCCCTCCATCCAGCTCCCACCTCTGGGTTCGGCAGACCACAGTCATCATGGAGAAGACCACGCCCACAGCCAGACCCAGGTCCACACTCAGGGTCACGACAGCAACCCATGTGACCATCCACACAGCCTGGGGGACACGGAAGGGGATAGTGGCCAGAGAGAAGGGCCCAAGGCTGTACTGTCAGGGAAAGGCATCTTGGAGAATGATTGCCAGGGCAGGGGTGAAAGAGTGCCAGGAAGAATGGCTAGAACTGGCCCAACATGCTGAGCTCAGTGCTAGCTGGCGGGTTATGAAGAGTCAAGACTAAGGGCATTCAGTCAACCCCACCCTTCAATTTATCTCTGGGGAAAAGGTACCGAGAGGCATGTGTATTGCAACAGCGGGGAGGTGAAGGATGGGATGAGGGTGATGGGGCTTGCAAAACTGAGGATCAGGGTAAGTGGGTTGATCTAGGGCCGAAGCAGGGGATGCTGGGAAGATGGAAGGGGGTGGGTGGTGGGAGAGTAGGGCTGCCACTTCTCACAAAGTCCACTCGACTGATCCGCCATAACTGTGGGAGCTCCTGCATCTGGAAGAACATCTGGCGCATGCTGGAGATGTTGATGCATGCCAGGACAGCCTGGGGGCAGAAGAGGGAGGCTGACTCCCCCAGGGCCCTGGTCCGCAGCCCACCCGCCCAGCTGCCCGCCCATGCCTCCTCTGCCCCTTACCTTGGGTAAGTAGTAGAAGAAGGGCCCCAGCCACAGCAAGACCAACAGGACCACCCCGCAGGAGAAGAGGCCGGCCAGCTGCAGGCAGCGGGGCGAGAAGGAAGGCTCTGCCTCTGTCTGCCTCTCCAGCTCCCAAGGAAGTCTCCCTTCCACACCACTCCTTACATCCTTCTAGACCTCGCTGCGCCCATCCACCATTCTCCTCCCCCCACCCAAACACCTGTCATGGCCAGAAAGCCCCTAGTCAGCAGTTCTCAACCTGTGGGTCACGACCCCTTTGGGGGTCAAATGACCCTTTCACAGGAGTCACCCGATTCCTAACAGTAGCAAAATGACAGTGATGAAGTAGCAACAAAAATAATTTTATGGTTGGAGTGGTCACTACCACATGAACTGTATGAAAGGGTCATGGCATTAGGAAGGTTGAGAACCACTGCCCTAGATGTAGTTCACCTTCTCCATCTTGAAAGCCACGCCTGGATCACCCCGGGACACAGTTCTAACACAGTTGCCACGGATCAGAATCAACTTGCCGCAGCAGGAGACCCCAACGGCAACCTAACACATGCTTTAGCACTCCCAGAAAGAAAGGAACACCAAAAAATATTCAGGAGGGTAGGGTGAGGGGTTTGATGTGATATTTCTTTTCAAAACTTTGTCAAAAATGCTCCTCCTCATGAGAGAGGGAAGAAAAAAGAGGGATCCTTGTCTCTGAATGTGTTTAACAGTTGGCAGTGTTGCTATCTTAAATACAGATGGGTCCGCACGATCTCACTCAGGGCTTCCAGTCGGGGTTATCATTGCTGTCAGCTGCTGGGGAGCTGGTTCTTGCGGAGTGAAGGGTTGAACCGCGCCTTAGGGTTTTCAAGGCTGAGAACTTTCAAACGCAGATTGCCAACTGTCTTCCAAGCCACCAGCTGCACTGGTAGGTTTGACCTTCCAACTTTTCAGCAAGGAGCCTTCGTGGCAGAGCAATTAAGCACCGTGGCTGAGCACTGAAAGATGGGTGTTTCAAGGCCACCCAACAGCTCTACAGGAAAAACACTTGGCAAAAGCCCGATGGAGCAGTTGGACCCTGTCACTGGGGCTGCTATAAGTTGAGCTGAAATGGACTTGAAGGCGCTGTGACCACAAGGAGCACTGGTGGCGTAGTGGCTATGCATTGGGTTACTAACTGCAAGGTCAGCAGTTTGAAAACACCAGCTGCTCTGTGGGACAAAGGCAGGGTTTTCTACCCCTGTCAAGAGTTACAGTCGTCTTGGAAACCCACAGGGGCAGCTCTACCCTGCCCTATAGCGGTCACTGAGTCAGCATCAACTTGATGGCAATGAGTTTGCTTTGGTTTGAACAACAATGCCAACAACACCGAGTACTTGTACCGCCCAGGGACGCCAGATTAGAGGCTGTTATAGGCAGTAAAGTGGGCTCTGGCCCATAATGACCCTACACGATCCTACAGAGCTACCCTATAGGGTTTTCTAGGTTGCCATCTTTATGGGAGCAGATCATCAGGTGGGAACTTAGTTGGTCTTATTGTTACATTACCTCTGACCCTGCCTACCCAGATAATCCACCTCCCTCCCCCAATCCCAGCCTCCTCTATCCAGATGCTCCTTGGGTATCCATTTCTCCTCCGAGGGCTGGATGCCCCAGCCTTTCCCTCATTCCAAGGTGCCCTCTTACCTGTGTATTGCCCCCAGCGTCCACTAGTAGGCTGGTCGTGGCCAGTGTGGCCGAGTTGGGAAAGCAAGAGAAGAGGGAGGAGATGAGGTTGGAGACACCATGCGCCAAGAGTTCCTGCAGGGATGCAGTGAGGGGAGGGAGGTCAGACCAGGGCTGGTCTCTCAAGTGTGGCTGGGCTCCCCAGTCAGAGTCACACCTGGTTGGAGTCAATTGTATAGCTGTACTTATCCGCATAGATGGAGGCCAGAGAGGCCGACACAGCGAAAGTCACCAGGGCAATGGGCAGCGAGTCGGCCAGAATCCCAGGCAGCTCAGTCAGGCTGGGAAGGAGAGGGTGAGGGAATCTGGAGAGGAAGGGGTCTGTGGTGAGGCAAGGCCAGAGAGGAGAGGGGCAGGATGAGAGGAGGTGCTGGGTAGGAAAGGCCTTGGGTTGCCAGACAAGGTGTGGGAGGAGCACATGAGCCTCTTCTCATTCTCTTACCCTGCAGGGAGCACCCCCACTATCTGGATGTTGTATCTTGTGTCCAGAGAAGAGGTGAAGCAAAGCACTGAGGCCAGGAGCACCTGAGGAAGAGAGACAAGCAGGGATGTGGGTGGCAACCTTGAGGGGCTCATCATGCAAACTCACTACCATGAACTGGGCAGGACTCATAGTGACCCCATAGGACAGGGTAGAGCTGCTGCTGTGAGTTTCCATCTTTCTCCTTTGGTGCAGCTGGTGGTTTTGAACGGCTGTCCTGGGGATTAGTAGCCCAATGTGAATCCCCTATGCCACTAGGCCTCTGTGGTTCAGCATGAGAAGGGACCAAAAATACACTAGGAGGTGATCAGGGGCACATGACTGAGGGAGCTGAGGTGTGTCTGCTCAGGAGCTGACAGCAGACTTGCAGATACAGGGATGAGAAAGAACAAGGGCAGGAGAACGCTATTCTCAGGAGCAAGGCTAGGCTACATCTAGTGGGTTGTAAGGTCTCGGCGGTGGGGGTGGGGGGAACACAGCAAATACTTAGTCCCAGGAAGAGAACTGTAGGTGTATGTGGGACCTGATAATGGAGAGAGAACAGGAAATTACCCTGCAGGGGCCTGTGCGGTGGCCAGCAAGACAGCAAGGGAGCCCGGTGGGGAGGAAGAGGAGGCAAAGTAACAGGTCTGGAGTGGGTTCTCTGGGACAAGTAGGGAAATCAGG